CGCGTTATGAACAATGAGTCACACGATACATTCTATACGTACGTTGTTCAGTTCGAGAGTACTGCGAATGATTTTCTCAATGTCTACATCAACGGCAAGAATACTGTTACGTAGAAGTTTCTACGTATAAATGTCAAAAATGTGCAGCCATCCTTCTTCATCGGACGGTTTGCCTTCGATATTCGCTTTGATACGACCAGATCATAGCAATGCTGGATCAATAGCATCGAACATATTGGTTGTTGGAATTAAGAAGATATTATTCAGACGAATCATACCGTCGATTTCTGCTAATAATTGAGTTGTAACACTATTCTGTGCAATATCATTGTCGTTCCATCAGGACATGATCGAATCCTATAGACAGCGTCCTCTTCATCAAAGTGTAGAAGGTATAGCAAGATAGATTCTAAAATAATTCCCGCATGTAGAGCTTTTTAGATTCGTTCACGATACCCATATTTGGTCGAATACAATAGTGAAGCAGCACAACAAAGTAATTAGGGATTACTATTCGTTTTGACCTTCAGCATCATCTCAACTGACGCTTGACTTCAACACTCCGTCACTAGTCGGTCGAAAACTTGGACGACCTAACCGTCGTGGACCATCTACAATATCAACTAAGTGCAAATGATGCAATTTATACAATACTCTTATTATAAATAGTCAGTTTATCTTATAGATCGACTGTAAACAATGATAATGAGTTATCATGCATTAATAAATATCTCATTTACATTCTAAAAGCAAGATTTTCTAGAAAAACAGTTCTAAGTAGTGTTGGCGAGTGTTAGTGAGATGTTACTGACTGTTAGTGTAGTGTTAGTGTAGTGTTAGTGGGTATTATTTCGATATTAGAAAATGTTTATGCAGCGTAATGTACAATGAAATTTCTGAAAGTGTGCTGAGACTGTTTCTAAAGAATGGGACTGATGGGTCGTTAATGTGGATGGATGTTAATGTGGTGTTAGTGAGTGTTTACAGAATGTGCTCATTGAGTTCTAGCTTGTGAACTATTCACCAAACGGATCTGAACAAAAGTTGGGTATTAGCGTCTTTTACTAATGCCCTATAATAATCTATTTTGAAAAGATATGTCTCTCAAGTTTTTCTATTTTTCGTTCAAGTTTTATTAAACTTATATTACGAAAGTAAATATTGTTATGACATTCACAGATAAATGATGCATGACTAGATGCTTTCAGAAAACTCCTGCAATATTAGGATCACGGTATTAAAAATAGAATATTGAAATTTTATGTCTGATTTTGTTTTTGATAGTTGAGCACAATATATGACTTCCTACTTCTGCTTTTATAATTAGACTATTTGTGATCAAAAAATAATCAAAACCCAAAGTCGGAGTCATCATTCTTCGCTTATCTATTCTATTATTTAGATCCAAATTGATTTCATATTTTGCGTTTACGAAAGAAGTTTCGACATTTTTCTCTCAAGATTTCATATCATGTATTAAATCATTTATGGAATAACACTTATCTATATAGACTCTAACTTTTAAAGTCTATCATAGGTCTTACTAGACGATGCTTTCCATATCCAATGCCATTAAAAGTTTGGGTAATGTATGAGAAATATCTTGATGAACAATAAATTGTGCTTAACCTTTAACAAAAGCTGTTTTGCCAATACCCTATTCAAAAATAAGTCCATTCATTTATACGGATAACATAGTTAAATAAAATTCTTACCAATTCCCCCTATTAAAGCTAATTCTTTTCGTTTATCGTGACACAATTGGAATACATCGTTCAATTTCCCCATCATGGTCTGAATGCAGATAGGTACGGCTGTGAATCTATTATTTACACTCATAATTTATTGCTGAAAAATCTTAGCAAACGAAAAAGTATATAATATACTTTATCACATTTTGTCATTTATAAAAAGATTGAAAGATAAAATTTATTATCGGTTCAAAACCCAATGAGAAAATCGAACAAATAAAAAATTTGAATAAGAAAAAAGCTTCATTTATTATGACACATTAAGTGGTCCAAGAATATCTTTGAAATTTATTTTTTCAATAAAAAATAGTTTTTGTTGAAAATGAAAATTAACTCGTAAATTTTCCATTAGTGATTGGTAGTAATTTTGAGCTGACTTTTCGAAATTTTTCTGAAGATATTAGTGAGAATCACGATTACGAACAAGTATTCTTCGAAATAATTCAATATACGTAATGTTCATTCAAACTGTTCAACTATCTAAGATGATTTTAAGTGTTTAAAATGACTTCTTTCTAGTGAAATTCAAAAGCCAAGAATGCCATCTATACTATAAAAACAATAAACAATAACATATATCACATATGTTCGTCAATAAATGACGTTCATCAAATGATGTTAGTTTATTTCTCTTGAAAAAATAATAAAAAAAAACATTAGAATCTTGTTTGAACACGTTGAGCTGTATTCTTTGAGCCATCATTTTTAAAAATTTTTCGACGTTAACCGTAGTACAATGATTTTGAGAACGACCATAATCGACGAAAACGTAGGAAGAACATCACAAGTAATGCTACAGCAGCCAAACCATCTTACTTAAAACCAGAATAAGTGCTGGTTTAATTTACGATTAAGCCGAGAATAAAACTAGTACCAGCTGTAACAGTAATCTTTGAACCAGCTCATCCTATCAAAAATTTTAATCATTTTTGGTTTTGTAACCAAACCAGGAAACAATGTTTTCTCATATTTCATAACAGGCAATATCTAATCGAAAATAAATCTGAACAGGTGAAACTGTGTGTATTTAGCAGTGTCCTATCATCATAATTACTAATCAAGTAAAAAAAATTATTAAAGCCACATTAGTTTGGTCAAAGTCAGATTAAAATGCAGATATTTCTTCTACATGAGCCATTTCGGAAACCCCATTATGAACCAAAGAGTATTTTTCGCACTGTAGATCTCAAGAACAACTCAACCAGTTTAGTTGTTCTTGACATAGAGAGTATGAAAAATACGCGTTGATCATGCTAGAGATATATAGAGGTATTGGTATAAATTCGATCAGCAATTGAGGGATCAATATTTTTTCAATGAAATTGCTCCAAACATAATCAAAATGCAGTCTTTATTCTATATGTTCAAATGAATAACATTGAAGGATACGAAGCAGACGCACTGCATAGAGTGATCAGTTGTAGTTTACACCTAGTAGCTTCTCAGTCGAACTTAGTTCTATAGCGTTATTCATCTTCTTCGAGTGAAGAATCAGCGAAAACAATTGCTAATATTATAACTCACAGATACTATGTTTAAATATTGAAATAGGAAAATCATGAAATTAGATTATTTATTTATTTTATTTTCGTGAAGGTAGTCTACTATTGTTTATATAATAAAGAATAGTAGACCTTTCAGATTAATGGATACATTTTCAATATCTGATCAACTTTTAGTCGATCTTTTCGATCATTATATTAATTATTAACAGTATAAATAGAGGAACAGGAACGTCACAAGCTGATATTGAATATTGAAAATAGATTGGTTCATCAAAAGGTGCTATTGGGTAAATCCATGGCATCTTTACCACAAAATCCACAACTTTCTCCGAATTGTATGAAACTTTCAGGGTTTGTGGGTGTGAATGTGGGTAGGAGAACACCACACATCTCACACTCTATACCCTCACCCACACTCACCCACACCCTCATCCACACCCACACCCTATTTGTATGGATTTGTTTTGATTGTAACTTAGCAACTAAAAGATAGTTTGAGAAAGAACTACATCAAAAGAATCATTGGAATTCGTATTATCTATGCTTGAAATATCAAATCATTTGACGCATATAAGTTGGAGACATTTTCACATTAGGCGGAAAAATTAGGTAATTCATTGGTAAGAATTATTTACACTATTTTGTTTCAATCATAATTCAACAGCAAATAATGAAAAACAACAAGAGTCGCTATGACTGATATTAACTATGTTCCAAATATGGCATGATGGATTTACACGCGTTCAGCATACAATTACATTACTGAAAGATGAGCAAACTACTTGTAACACACTCTTTTTACGATTGATCCATATTGTCGTCTGCAGTAGTGAAATCTGATATCATGATATGTTTTTACACGTCAGACAAAACTGAGTTTACTATTATAGCGAAGGATACTGCATGTAACTCAGAGAAAAGATCGAGAATGTTACAATGGAAAGAGAACTGTCATAAAAATACAGGTAAGAAAAGCTTATTTTCACCACCTCTTTGGCGCTGAAATATGGAACTCACACATCTTCTTTAGCTTCATTATATAAATATAAAATAGATAAATTGTAAATAAAGCATAACATCATATAATAGAAGAGCTAGTTTAAGATAAGACCGGAATCGAAGTCCATTTAAAAATGCTTTAAGAATGATAAAAAGAACTAGAAATTCAGTTTAAATGATCAAAGCTGTCGATCAACTGAAGATCATCTATTCTTCTTAAGATCTTATTATGTAACTCATCATTTATGAATATAAACATTAGTATTTGTTTGATCTAGATCAATAGCTTTATCACAATCTTACAAGACAACTAGAAGTCAATCAAATTGTAGTAATAAAAATAACTTATCAACAACTTACGATTGAATTCTTTCGTAAGAAGTCGATAATCAGCACGATAATAATATAATACAGAAAGTTGTTTATTTCTTATGAATAGAAGAAGGTTTAACGACATCTATCATTTATACTTGTTGTTTGTCTTCTCTATAAATCATACATAAGTTTGTCACTTATTCTCACTGGTCTGGTCTGCATCTTCAGAGACTGAAGCAGAATACACACAAGTTTTGTATTCATTCTTTCATATGTATAGTATAGTATTCGTTATCCGATTATCCAATTAGAAAAACAAGAGTCTTACTAAAGGAAAAATTGCTTTGTTCAGATTGGTTATTGATTCTTCTCCAATGTTTACATGTTGTTCATGATCATCCATCATTTTACTTAAAACACAACGAACAAAATGAGTGATTGTGTTCAAGTTAATTTACGAATTACTACTAATAGTAATCAAGGTATAATTTTATATAAAGAACAAAAAAAACAAAAAATTCTTATTTTGTAACATTAATTTTTTTTTAATTTATTTTCTACAGGTGGTCGAAAATACATGGGTAAATAAGAAATTATAAATCTAATTAATTTGTAGGAAACAATAAAATATATCTGTTTTTTTTCTTCAGAAGATACATATGCAATAGCTCTTCAACGTTTAAATCCATTAGATAAAGAAAGTCCTATTTCACTAGCTTATTTTGGTATATTTGATGGTCATGGTGGAAAAGAAGCAGCTGAATTTGCTCGACAAAATTTATGTCAACATATTCTTGAACAAGATGATTTTTGGTCAGAAAATTCTAATGATAAACAAATATTATCAGCTATTCGAAAAGGTTTTCTTTCATGTCATAATGATATGTGGAAACATGTTGAAAAATGGACAAAAACATCATCGGGTTTAACAAGTACTTCAGGTAAAACAAAAAAATCTTTCATAAAACAAAATAAATATTTTTAAAATAGGTTGTACAGCAAGTGTTGTATTTGTACGTGGAAATAAATTATATATTGGACATGTTGGAGATTCATCAATTGTTATAGGTGAAGGTAATACATTATATAAATGTTGGAAAGCAAATCGTATAACACGTGATCATAAACCAGAAGATCCACTTGAATTAAAACGTATACGTGATAGTGGTGGAAATGTTCTTTGTAAAGCTGGTGTTCATCGTGTTGTTTGGAATAGACAAAAATTAATACAATCATCTAATTATTATAGAAATGAACATATGAAAACAACATATGAATATGAACAAATACCATTTTTAGCTATATCACGTGCATTAGGAGATTTATGGAGTTTAAATAAACATACAAATCTTTATTCTGTTTCACCTGAACCTGAATTAACTGTTATTGAAATAAATCCAAATAAACATCGATGTTTAATATTAGCTAGTGATGGTCTTTGGAATATGATAACACCAGAAATAGCTGTAGAAATTGTTAGAAATTGTGATGTTAAAACTGAAGAAATGATTTTAAATTCTGAGGTTTGTAGATTATTAATTTTCTTTTTGTTATGATTAAGAAAAAAAAAACAAAACTTAAATAGGATGATGATGATCGACCATTTCGCAATCCATCACATGAACTTGTACAAAAAGCATTAGTATCATGGCGAGAAAGAATGTTACGTGCTGATAATATAACTTGTATTACAGTTATGCTTGATCCACCAGGACCACCATTTAGTGAATGTATTTTAAATAAGAAAAAACAAATATCTTTATCAACATGTATGTCATCAATTTTTATTATTCAATGATATGAGAAATTAGTTTTTCTTTCTTTTTGCCTAGATTCAGTTTGTTCGGATGGTATAGTTGAAGTAGATCGAGTAGGATCGTTACTTACAAGTGAAACACCTCAAAGACCTAAACTTACTGTAAAACGTAAAGAAAATATTCTTACACCAATTTCAAATGGATCGACACCTATACGAGTAAGTGGATTTTATAACTTTTGATTTAATCTATAGAACAAAGATATCGATTATTGATTGAAATGACCTTGTTGAGAAATTTCATTTTTTCGATGTTAAACTTTTACAGTCAATGACTGTCATGTGTACACGGAATTTTGCTTTCTTACCTACCAATTTGATGATCGATCGACTAGTTTTCATGAGACTTAATAGTGTTACAAAATGTATAAAAATATCGAAAAAAAAAACACTGATCTCCGAGAAAAATTCTAAGTCATTTGTGTGAAGGACCAAGCAGGAGTTTTTCGACGAAAAAAACAAGTTCATGGAGATACTTGAAGTGCTCACATACGTCGCTTCACTTATGAAGACTGATTTTGAGTAACGTATTAGTTTCACTCAGGTCACTTTTTTAAATTAAAGTACTCTAACTATTAGTCAAAAAGACTATTCTCAAAATTTTTTAGAGATAAGTGTTTTCCCTTGATATTTTTCTTACGTTTTCGTAGCGCTATCAAGTCTGATGACACTAGCCGGGTCGGTCATCAAAGTGATAGGTAAAAAAAAGCTGAATCCAGTGTACATGTGACAGTTGTTGGCTATTTCACCTAGCTTAGGCACCAAGGGGGAAACGGCGGATTCTCGGGATTCCGAATCCCAAGGGAATCCCATGGGAATCTTGGAAATCCATGGAATCCCGGGAATCCCATGGGAATCCAGGGAATCCTGTGCCTAAGAGTCATCAATAGATAAAGTAATCATCAAAAATACACAGGCCAAACATACTAGTGATGACAATGATGACGAAGAAGTTGACTCAGAACTTGGAGGATTAGAACAAGACTCTCAAAATCAAGGGGGAAACGGCGGATTCCCGAGATTCCCACGGGATTTCCAGGAATCCTGAAAATCCCGTGGGAATCCGGAATCGGACGTTTTCCCCTTGTTAGGCACAGTACAAACAAGTGAGTTTAATACAGAAGAAACGAAATTTCTCTAGGGTGCTGATTTTATTAATTATGACTCGTTCTCCTTTAAAATACCAAGTATTTCATGCTAGCACTTTATCTAAGGTATAGTTTTCTTTTGTCTATCATAGACTGAGCTAGACGAATTCTGACTCACAATTATCACTTAGCCATGAGTTAAAACTAAAACTTTTTTTTTTAATCTATTGTGGAAAAAAATTGATGTTTTACAAACAAATGGGCAATCCTAAAATAAAACTCCTCTTTATCTATCCTTACAAAATTGATTATAGAAAGAAAATAGATGAAGTTCGAACTCGATAGTTTTTGTTTTCGTTTGATATTGATTAAATCGTTAATTTAGACTCCAAAACGTCCTGCATCAGACGATATAACTGATATGCTTGATGATACACCACGTCGTAAATTAATAAAAACTAGTCAACAAAAGGAGAATAATACAATATCACCTTTAAGAAATGAACTTGAACTTCCTCCAGTTCCTTCAACAAATAATGAAGAAGATGATCAAGAATTTTTACCTTTAACTCAACAAACACAAAAATTATCAACATTTGATGATGATTTAGCACAAAAAGTTGAACAATGTTTTCGTAATCATACTAAAGAACAACAAACTGATGTTGATATGATGGAAATCGAAGAATCACATCAAACAAATAATAATAATAATAAACACAAATCTTCTACACGTCGTCGTTCTCGTTTTCGATTTTCATTTTCGAATAATCATAATTCACCTGAACAAGAAGAAAATGAAATAGATTCGAAAAGAAAATCTCGTTTATTTCGAACGCATTCAGCTTCGATAATAAATCATGAAAATGAAAATGAAAATAATATTTATTCATCACGTCGACGAAAATCTTATAGTACTATTGGATTAGCAAATGAACTTAAAAATATTCCTAACAATAATAATAATAATAATGAACAAACAACAAATATTGATAAAGTATTATTTTTATTTAAAATAAATATGAAATTGATTTTTTTTCTTTTTTTCAATATTTAGAAATCAACAAAAATCAAATCATCATTAGCTAATCGTGTGAAACGAGCATTTTTCCGTCCACATCGTAGTCCAGTAACATCGTCATGATAATTTCTTAGTCTCTCTGTACATCCGCAAAATCAAAAAAAAAACAAGTGTTTATCTGATGAAATTATCCGACATAGTCAAATTGCTTTTTTTTTTCGTCTCAATCTCTCAGGAATCGTAGCTTCAATGAAGATAGATATTGCATATATATATATATATTATGATTTGTTCTATTTTCTATTGTTTATTATGTATACAGTAGTAGTTAATCATAGAAATTTATATAATATCAATTGTTTTCGTTTTTGTATTATTGAATAACATATGAAATATAAAACGAAAGTATTTGTTTTCTTTCCATGAATTTCTAGATAAAAATTTATTATAATCTATAATATATGGCTTAATTTTCAAGTAGATTTATTCAATATTGAATTCTGTCTAAAACGTCGTTATTGAAACTTGAATAATCTTGTTTATATTTTGAAAAAGGTAAAACAATATTTGAACTGCATATCAATCTACTTCTAATCTCTAGGCGCTACAAAAAAAAAGTAAAGATCGTCATCAGTGACGAAGCCAGAAGAAAAATGTCAATGAGTCTTAGCCTTCGTTTGAAGCTAAAAACGAGATCGATTCTCTCACCATGTAGAAACGTCAAATTACAGGAGGAGGCCAACTGATCTTCGAACTTCATCACTTATCATCATATGAATGATTTAAAAATAAAAAGTAGAGATAAATTCACGTTCTAATAGATTATTGTCTTTCGAAAAACAATTTTCATTTTTTTAGAAATAAATCAGGGGTGGAACCGGTTGAGAAATATTAAAACGGTCCGGTCCGGCCGGTTGGAATCACATGTCCAACCGATGGAAAAATGTCGAATTTTTTTTTTCAAAACCGATTTTTAGAAAAAATCGCCCCAAATATGAAATAGTCTAAGGCGCATGTAAAAGACGCTCATCATAATGAATCTTTTTAAAGAGAACCTCAGGAAAAATGATTAATATAACATATGTTTTGAGCACTTTTTTACCTATTCTGACAGAAAAAACATGTGATACCTTAGTTTTTATGGTCAAAGACAGGATTAACAAAGAAGATTTTTGAAAAATTTCAACCGGTCCCGCCGGACCGGTTCCAACCCTGGTCCCTTGATCCACTCGTCTGATGAAATATAGATATTCAAATCTTCAGGTGTCTATCCTTTACAGTTATTAACTAGGGAACTTCACCAAATCCTACATTTTGTTTGAGGTCATATTTTGCTCACATGTACGTAGGACTTCTAGTGTAGGTAAAAGTCGCAAAAAGGATTTTTTTTATTAGATGCCTGTTCTCGATTTATGAGTATTTTATTGCCTCTTGCAGGATATCACAAGCAAAACTAAATCACTTGTTGTCTCTGTAATAGAGTATTAATTTTGTTTGGACGTTTCAAGATATTATAAAGGCTATGGGATTCATTTTTGAGCAAAATTTCAGATTGAGATTTTTCGATTTTATTTTGCTCGCAATACCTTGCAATAGACTGAAAATTTAGTAAAATAATCATAACTAGAGAACAATGGCTTACATCAGTTGGTGAGATTTCCTTGTGATATTCAGTAAGGCGCGAGACTTGTTCGTATGTGTCATACACGTATTCATTTAGTATTTTTTTTTATCGATTATTCAATTGAAATTGCAGTTCACATTTTTGATCTTTTCATAATTTTTCAAATAGCAAAAATGATGTTCAAGTTTCAATACGATTTTTAATGGAAAATGAAATTATCTATTGAATGAATCTACTTTGAACATTTTACACCATTGTGAATATTCGAACATAGCAAATTCATGAATGAAAAACTTCGAATTTATTATGGTAATGAATGATTTTTTTATAATTGCCATTTCGATATTGTAGATGTGGAATGTTCATTCAAGATTTTTGGCACGAACAGTTTGGGTTCGTAATGGTGAAGTAGATTTAGCTTATCGAGCTTTAAATCGGTAAAAATATGAATTGTGAAAGAATTATAAAGAAGAAACTTTTTCTTTTAGAGTTTTGAATAATGAAGATGTATTTAAAACAGCTCGTTTATGGGAACGATACGAAAAACCATTTCGAAAACGTGGTCGACTTTGTTATGAAAAGTACATTAGAATTTATTTATTCACATGAATTCTTTTGTTTCTTTTAGAGCACATGAAATTTACAATAATGAAATGGAACGAAAAATTAAATTTCTAATGCGTAAAAATCGTGTAAATCCATGGCCATGGAATTAATATCTAAAAACAAATTTTCATCAAGTTTTCTTTTCCCGTGTTTTTGTCGATTTGATTTCTATCTCTTCTGTTTATTTGTCATAATTGTTTCTATAGGATTAAAAGTTTCTTCTAGATCAAATATATATACGCATTGAACAATGGGTTTTTTTCAAGGAATCAAAGGTAAGATTATTGATTGTTTACAAAACATTTATCTAAAGAATTTTATTTTTTTTTTCTAGGGCAAGTATTGTTTTTTTATTAATGAAACATACAGTTTTGGCTAAAACTATCGAAGTCACTTGTTCGAACAGAGCTATTCGATGAGTTTCGACTATTTTAATTATATTACATAAACAAAAAAATTATTTGAAGACAGATGTTCTTTGTCTGAATGTGAAATCATATAGACTTGATAAAACTGTCAGGTAAAAAGAAACAGATGATTGTCAAGTTTTATCTTGTTAAACTTATAGAATCAGTGTCATATTTTTTTTTGAAGAGTGAAATCAGTACTAAACATGTACAAGCACTTATAAATATTATGTACGAGAGATTGACAAAGATTTTGAGAATTGTTTACTAATACTAACACTAATAGATGTTATTGCAAAACGTTATCAATCATGACAAAGCCCTTCAAACATAATATTCAAGAATAGATGGAAGAGCTTTGTACATGCTAAGAACTGATTTGAATAGTATATATTGTGAAACGATAACTATCTTTCTAATGAAATGAGATGTGAAGTTCTTCGATATCTTATTTCCAAGCAAAATCCGATTCTCGACATATATGTGTTTCCTACAACCTGACAGATCAATCAAATGAATATGATTTCATATTCAGACAGAGTACATCTCAATACCTGCCTTCACATAATTTTTTCTTTCTGTATAAGAATTTAAATGATTCGTCTAACAGCTTCAAGTAGTTCTATAATTTTGACCAGTAATGTATTTTTTTAGTGTTGTTCTTCTTGCTTTTCTGGCTTCAATTGGTCTTACATTACTCATCTTAGGTTGTGCATTGTCTCAATAGTATGCATTTATTTTATTGTTATTGTTGTTGTTTTTTTTTAAATGAAATTTTTTGTTTTGAAGTAATTGGTGGCCAACATTTGTAATTATATTTTATGTTCTGTCACCATTTCCAATAGCCATTGGACGTCGATGTACATCCGATGGTGGCTATACTTTACGGGAATCAAGTCCATGTGCAGATTTAATGTGGTTTATAACAAGTGTTATTGTTGTTTCGGCATTTGGTTTGCCAGCAGTTATGTATCGTGCATCTGTCGTATGTGGTTAATTTTAAAGTTGATGTTTTATTTTTCTTTGTTTTGAATTTAGATTCAAGTTGGTTCAATGGCTTTTATAATGTCAGCTAATGTAGTTATATTTACAACGATTACAATTTATTTCATGACATTTGGTTCAGATGATAGTTTACCTAATTTCTAAACGAATAAGAACATTATGGTTTATAACAAAAACAGGACATGTAAACGATTTTGTACAAGTGTTTCATTCGCTTTTCTCATTGTATTGTCAGCTTTATTGTATTTTATTAATTTTGAAGAATAGCGCTTTTTTTTTTCTCAGATTAAAAAATCTCGGCTAATGATATTTTCATCATCGTTCGTGTGTATCTTTATTTAATAAATATACGAAAATATATAATAATTATTATTATCATTTTTGATAGACAATTCTACTGAAAGACAAAAAAAAATGTCATATATATGTATTATTTAAAAGCTTATAAGAAACAAAAATTATTGATATTTTCTATTATCAAACAAATCTATAGTAATTGAAATATACTTAGATCTATATAAACACTTTTGTTTCGTTGAAACAATGTGTGTGTACGTTAGAAGGATTAAAATAAATACAGCTAGATTATTACTCATCTATTAACAATTGATTGAACAAACTGTTGCAAGAAGTTTATTGTTCACATTTAATATATCATGACTTTTTAATTAGTCTTTAATGTGTATAAATACTTTGAATATTCAGCTTGTTATGCATTAGTACATTGAATTAACATTAGCTTTGTTTTTGAGCCTATTCATCTCATACAATACAAAAAAAAAATAGAATCGAATTGGATTGTTAGATTTGTTTTAATTTGAAACACAAAAAAAAAAATTGAAAGACTCATTCAACAAAATATATATAAAGACAAGTTTTATTTGTTAGGTGTTATTTAATTACAAGCATTTATCATAAAAAAAAACGCACAATAGTATAGTCTCTACTGACTCAATGTTAGTCTCGATTAATGTTTTTTTTTTTCACTCTCATGAATGTTAAGTGAACAAGTATAAAGTAATTTACCTTTCGTCTTGTTCTTTTCTTTGAGTTGTAGTAATATTGACGAATCGAAGTTCTTTTCTTTTTTCGGTCTATTGTTTATTCTGTATTCCTTATGAATATATATATATATATATATAAGACAAGAGAGCATAAGTGAAAACTGTTATCGTATTTATGACCTTTTAAAATTGTTTCAAGTATTAAGATATAAGCATTTGTCGACTAGTTCATTAACAATGCACAATAGTTTGGTTGATGGTCATATTCGACATGAATTTCGATCTATTTTAAATATTCTTATTCATTTTTCACTTTCACTTACACAATTAGTAAGTGTACTTGCTATATTAGGCTTACAAATAGCATTGGCTGTTACTCAAACATGTGCATATCAATTTGCTATTGGTTTCTGGTCATTTCCTTTCTTAATCATGTCTCCGATAAGTATTTGGTTGGTTATTTGGCGACGTAATTTAGTGACTTGTCTTAGTGCTATAGTTGTTCATTTTTGTTCAACTCTTTTTGCAACAGCCATAATTATTTTTAGTTTTCTTGTATTAATTGGTCAAATTGGATTTACATGTTCTACATCTTCGTTAAATACAACCTATGTCGTACTAAATAGTTCATTAATTGGTATGAGTGGTTTCTTTAAATTATTTAATTATGGTGAACTTATTTTACTTTATATGCTTATTCGTAATCATGATAAAATATCAACAACATCTATTAAGGAATTTTTTCAAAGAGATCATTCATTTATGCCAGATCGTACCTATGTCAATGCATGGCGTTCATGGGCTGAAGTTAATAGTGAAACTCGCAGTAACTCTGATGTCTTTTTTGTTTAAAAAAAAA